TTATACCCAAATACTAGGTCACATTCAGGAAATAAAATGAGCTACATACAGTGAATAAAAAATTCCCTTTCAAAATAAATAAAAATTCGACTTAAAAAGTATTCTCCCTATTTCAACGCATGCATTATTTTGGCAAGAAATGGGGAAGGGGATGTCACTATTCATTAAGGTTTAAGAAATACTGACTGAAAAGTCAATGGAAATATTTGCTATACTACTCATTGGACTAAATTGCTCGAATCTGAGAGGCTATCCCGATAATCCAAGAATATTTCTAAGTGTAAAGACAAAATAAAGAAAAATAATAGTAAAAAAAAGAATCAACCGAACCCATAGTTGTAACAACGGTCACGCAGAAGAAGAGAGCATTTCCAAAACTCCAAGAGCTTTCTTCAATCTGTGTATCCACCTGGTGGCTTTCATTTTGGTTTGTAAAAGGTGATAATTTCCTTTTGTTGGTTATGTGAGCAATAAACTTCCTCAATTTACTCGGAGGCGCATTTGAAAGCTCCGTCAAAATCTCTGCTAACTTCTCAGCTATACAAAAACAATGTGCTTTAGCACGAAAACAAAGTTTCATTCCAAATATAAGCAACTTACAAGAAAGACAGTGGCAATCATATAGTGATTCAATAATTTCAGTATTTGGTAGACCAGATTGGCCAATATTAGGCTTTTCAATAACTATAAAAATGAGCGATCCAAGGCACATAAAAGCAATGTAAGCAAAAAGAGTGACAAAATATCTCTTCTTAGGATTTTTGATACAGGCTTTAAAGTGACAAGGAGGCAGCCTTTTCCTCTTAATCGTATTCTGAAGAATTACACCCGGATGATTCGCAGAAGAAAATTTCCGTATTCGTGATACTGGAGAAGGACTGTTAGTCGAACATGAAGGGTGGGAGATATTGTCCTGGTCAGTGTCTGATTTCATTTTAGCAGAATCTGTTTCACTTTCATAAAGAGTACCTAAAGGACCGTCCCTCTCCACCATATCAACAGGTCTGCCTGGATAAGCATTAGTGGAGATTGGATTTTGTGAATTGGAAGTACGGGGCACTGGTAATCGCTGTTGAGAATTTTCATCATCTGAAGATTCACAGGAAGATATAATGAACTCCACGTTTTCACCATCCGAGTCTTGAATATCGAATAAATTCTCACTAGAAAATACCTTTCCGATTGCTTCACCGATTTCATCATCAGAAATGTTAGGAGCTTCGCTCCCAAGGTGGATAAACATTGCTGGCGCAAATCCACGATAAAGCAATCAGGCGACTAGCGCATTCGAATATGCAAGCATATACTGACCTTGAATACGAAAATTAAGAGCTTTCTTTAGTTCCCTAAACATATCATTGATATTTCAATTAATAAAATTCTACATTTAGATATTTTTCAATTATTTAACGTACATATATTTACTAAATATTTTAAGTAAGATTTTATAGAAATTTTTGCCAATAATGGCAATTAGGGAAATTTTGAATTAGTCAAGGGAATATCAATAATCTTTCCACTTTTTGTGTTTAAAAATACCACTTAAATTTACTTCACATTTATTCTAAAAGTTAGGAATCATCGATTGTTTATTATTTGTAAAGTTATAAGAATGAGAAACAAAGCATGTTTTGATGTACTACCATTCTCCTTTTATGTTTTTCTTCAACAATAAATGCACACTTTTACTCTTTACCATGGAAAATAAATGAAAAATTCAAAAGTAGCAGTATGGGTTAGCCTCCATTTTATAGCTTTAACAAGATCCACGACCCGTGAAAAGTCCTCTGAATACATTTGTTCAGGATAGTTTTATCATCGATAGTAATTATGGCAAATGTTATTACCGTGGCAGAAAGGTACGGAAAACTTTTTAACTTTTAATCATGTAATAACATGCCAATAAAAGAGGAGGAACCGAGTCGAATGTATTAAGAAATTAACGGTGAGTCAGTAATAAGAAGGCAAATAAGCCAATAAATTAAATTCTAATTATAAAATTATTGAGACGTCTAGATTCTCACATGATTCGTAACTATGCATATTGCTTTTTCGTTTAGATGCAATAATCTAACCTATCTTATCTCCGCTAATACGGATGCCTAAGCGAAAAGATTGTGCCAGTGTTGATGTTTATAAGTGGCTAAAAGGTTATTATAGTTGGTCGACGCTAAATTGGGTAACCACTTTAAAACCCAACCTTCTAAGCACGAAAAACACCGGCTCAAACTATGATACTCCACCTACCTACACCCTCCTTCCAATCGCACTCATGTTCTGCTATTTTACTTGTCTTTGAGGCTCTGTTAGAATATTCATATCTTCAGATTGACTAGCGAATAGCTCAGAATTACATTCCAAACGTGACTTTTGTATTAATAAACCGAAAACGCGAAAAAAGGTAATCGGTATTAACCTCTGCTACAAATATTTTTTGTCTGTTCACCTTCACTAAGTCTGATGTGTTGGTCTGTGTTAATGAATTTTTGCATGGGGCACTTCTTTATTAATAGGTAAAATTGTACAAGTCTTCGGAACTTATAATTTTCCACTCACCTTACTTTCCTTTTTACTGGTAAATTGTGTTTATGTGCTTTGTAGTCAGTAGTTTTGCTTATTTCATCACTTTCTCTCCTTTTCGCATTGTTTTCTCTTGGTTATTCTTGCTGTCGTCTAGGTGTATCATGCACATTGTGGTGCACACAGTCCACATAAGATAAAATGCTCACTCGAACATTCTGGAATGTGCATCCTTACATGCTGAACATGACTCAGATAAAAAGGAATTAATGTTCATTCAAAATTATGCTACGTGCATGCGATAACTAATCACATTTGCTGTTATATTAATTTGCAATAAACGTTTCACTTGCAACATGTCTACCCTCGTGATAGCCTTTCTGACTAGGTAGATCTACCGTAGAGATTTCTGAGTGTAGTTGTTTCTTGTTAGTGTAGCAAATCCGCTACAGCATTCGTGATTTATCCTATTCCGTTGTTGAATTCTTCAGGGAATCACTGTTCCGTTGTTCAGTGCATAGATCCTTCCCATATACTACCTATTACTAGTTTTCATAGAAATTACAACCATTTCTCAAATAGTTCGGCTCATTGCTCACAATTCGTGTGTAGGTATTAACTTCTTTGACGCTGATGTTTACAATACTACTATTACTATTGTGACATTTGTCAACTTGATAATTATACCAAGATGTCAAATTTTGGGCAATAAATAGTCGAGTTTCTTATGAAGACTGTTGAGTAAAAATTTTATTGATATATAAATGTTAATTTATGGTAATGCCAATAGTTTTTGCTATGGTAGATCGGCTAAAAACCGAGCGAGAGGGATCTGAGTGTTTATCATAGTTGAGGTCAACTAAGTACAAGATTGGCATTTCATTGAATAATAAAAGGCAAAATAAATTTTGGGAGCTTGCAAATTTGTTCTCGGCGAATATGAAGAGATAATTATAATTGTTATATCGTTCAGCCTAATTTAAGAAAAGCCTTCCAGCGCTCATCCTGGGCACCCTTGGTGAAATATTTGAATTCCGTCGTCCTCCGTGTTATCCATTTTCTAGTGTGGATGTCCGTTCAACTCATTTTTGACTTTCCATCGAGCACGCCAGCTCTTGCACCATTAACGCTCGCAAAGACAAGACTGATGAGTTTATTTGTGTACGTAATATCGTGGAATTTCCTAGTCATTCAGCGAAGACCATTCTTACGTCGATATATCACGTGGTTTTCAACCAGCATGACTCTGTCCCATCATGTGATGCAATGAGTCATAGCTTGTGGATTTCTGCACATCCAAACAAACGAGTAGGTTTCCTTGTCACCTTCACCCAATTGGTTCACTCTATCCTTTAAATAGGCAATTTGGTACATAAGCACTAATTTAAATTTGTGAATGTGTGAGTGTGGATTTAATCGCTATTACCTCTGTCACTTTATTTATTCAATCTTTATTATTTATTAATTAGGAATGTTTAATTTGTGGAAGCAACATGTGCTCAGAGTGTTCCAAATATGTTTGCTTAAAAAACCAGAATGTTTTACTTTAAATAGCTCTAAGAGTTTGGAAAGAGGAAATGGGAATTATTCTCTTTGGGGTATGAGGTATTCTTTGCATTAAATTTTACCTAAGCGTATAAGAACCCTCTTTTTTCGGACGGAGGATCATGCGGTTTCAGCTTTGGAGTAAATATTTTAAGTTTCAACGATTCAGCCACCTCTCCTGAGGTTATCTCGAACTATCCATCGGTTTTGCATACACTGGGGAAGGTTGAGGGGGCGTTATCATCTAACATGAAATACCACTGCTCTTGCAAGGCTCCCTGATTCTAAATTTCACAATTTTATGGAATTTAAATTGTTTTTGTTTTTTTCCTTGATGACAGGATAAACTGGCTTCTCGCGTTTTTATTTGAGCCCTCTTTTTATAGGATCTTGCCTTCTGGTGACTCGAAATAGTTTTTATTAGAAAGGGTGTTGATTGGGGATATCTCATTGCTTATCACAAAAACGCTTTGAAACCATTTTTTAATGCTTCTTCAAATTTCTTCATTTGCTTATGCGCGATAACATAACTCGTTAGACCATTTAAGAATTGTAAACAAAATTCTTATTTTTGTTCAGCTTTTTCATTAAAAAGTCTGATTCAAAAAATTCTCAATTCTTTATGAAAAGGTGATAAGTTTTCCAGTACTGAAACTTTTAATTGGGTACTAATTCAATGCTCGATCGATAGCTTTTGCGCATAATTATGCGATTTAGTACTTAAGTCTAAGTGATATGGCTGAATAATCACCAACACTGAGTTAAAGCGAAAAATCAATATAAGTAATATTAAGTGCAATGGGCTTCAGAGCGATATTCAAGTCATATGCTCTGAGGATTCAGTTAGTGAAATTTTCCCTATCTTTTATACTTTGCTTATAAAAACATATCATTCACTCCTTTCTAACGTTTAGTTTTAGGAAGTACCAAGGGAAATGAATAACTATTTTACGAGTGGATCAAATCGGCTACTGTTTCCTAACAGAGGCAAAGAGCATCCGAATACTTTGCCAAATATTGATATCCGTTCAGTCAATCCCATGGTTCAACTTGGATTTCTGATGTCATTGGAAAGACAAGTGGAACCCCAACCTTTTGAGCTCGTGTTTACTCAAAGGTATTTCTGCTATTCTGAGTTAAAGATGGCCACTTAATTGTTCTCAATTTGATAATTTACCGTCTTGCCTTCTCTTTTTAACTAAAGACGCATCGAAACACTTTATAAAATCGGGGTCGGTTCCTACAGTGAAGTTTACGGTTTCGAGGGTGAGGGTGTAGTTGTAAAACTGACTCCTTTTGGTGGATCTGTACCCTTTCACAACCGACCACAAGTGAAGATTGTGGACATGTATATGGAGGTCGCTGCAACAATGGAAATCTCAAATCTCAGAAATGTTCACAATAGCAGTTGTAAAACGGAAAACTTTGTCCTGTTAAGGAACAGTGTGGTTCTCATAGGGTCACTGCCAAAATATCTCATAGATGCAAAGCGGAAATCGAACGAATCAGTCCCTGTGCAATATGCGGAAGAAGGTGAGCCTCAAGTAGACTATTACATAAAACTCTGTGAAGTGACATATGATTAAAAATGCCCAACCGAATTTCCTTTTCAGATAGCTTTCCGGATGACCAACTTTGGATTGCATTTGAATTCAGTTATGGTGGAGAGACTATATCAAATTACTGGGTGATTTTGTGTGAAATTGTATTTCGTTTTGGTACCCTTGACCGGAGAGATCAAACAATATTTGCTTATAGTCATGACGAATCCTTACACCCCAACGTCCCTTCATCCTATTTCATTGATTTTGTGCTATTTGACTGCGGTGATTAGATGACTTATAGTGTTACTTGATAGGTGGGGTGTATTGTGTTTGCATGTGCAACAGTCAGCTTGAGCCAGACTGGTTTGCACGATTCCTAATTTAATGTGTTCCTCCTTTCCCTCTTCTTCTTCATCCGAATCAAAACCTGTCTTAGCCTCACAATGATTGGCAACATATTAAGGCGTTCAGGAACATACCCTTGGACGCGTATCCACCAGCGACTAGGTAATGCCTGAGTCCCTTTCATTTGCCTAACTTATTTTGTTTGCACATAGGAGTTGTGTCTTCTGCAAGCCGAAAAGGCTTTTTGACAGATCAATTTGCTCAGTACAATTCGTCTCTTTTTTATCTTCCAAAATTTTCGGGGTTTAGTAACTCTATAAACTGAGATTTTTGGTTTGAAACTACGTGATTTACCCTAGAATAGGTATTATGTTGGGAAATTCGCTTATTTGCACCCGTTTTGTACAGTACACTTTCAGTTAGTCATTGAGGCTTGTCCTCAACTTTTTTGGAATTGGCTTCTGAAGAAAACAACCTCAGTGGTAGGCTACTGAAAGTTATCACTAAATTTTGGTTCACATCAATAACGAATTTCATACCGTTGAGTTTATTTCCCATCCATGAATTTTAGCCTCCCTGTCCAATCGCTCGGATGTCAATATTTCTTCAGACGGCTCTTGCATTAGCAGTCGGAGAGCGCCGATTAGAACTTGAACATCGAGATTTGCACCTCGGTAACGTACTAATCTCGCAAAAAAGTCATGATTGCACATATGCTCCACCTCCATCATATATTAATGGCGTGAAATATCAACCCATCGGTGGACCTCCTGTGCAAATTATCGATTTTGCCTTTTCTCGACTTCAGAGAGGTAAGATCAGCTCAATTCCACTTTAAAGTTGTTACTTATTTAGCCGATGGTTCTATGCTGTATGTTGACATGACGGAAAAGTGTGAGAGACTACGAAATAAAAGTGATACGGTGGCTCAAATGTATACTATGATGCAAGAACTTACTCAGTGAGACGTGTGCTTTTGTTTTACGTGATTTAATTGGATTATAAGTATTAATATCATCATGGCTTTAAATTGTAGGAACCAATGGAGTGCTTATAATCCAAGGACAAATACTCATTGGTTGGGCCTTTTAGCCTTATGGTTGCTCGATCCAGAAAAGGGTGAAGAATGTGATGTCCACTCGCACTTTAATGCAGAAGAATCCAGACAAGCTATGATTTGCTTATTAAGTAAATGTGAATCAGCGCTTGATTTTGTACTCAAAATCAGAAGTCGTTTTGGTTTTTTATTTGTATGACCTACATGTACGCATTCTCGCATATTCAGACTGCCTTATTTCGGATTCGAAAGTTTGATTGAAGATTATCGGAGGCCTTTTATAGATATTTTTGAAGAAATAGTCTTATTATATTTATATGTTGGGTTGGCTTGGTGTGTGGCATCACCTTTTGAAGATTTCTAAATATTTGAAGCGCATCCGAGGTCACTTTGCCCATACTCCGACATCCTTTGCCGAGTATTACAGAATGTGGATTGATAGTTCAAAATTAGTGATTGTTAGTATTCAAACTAATCACCAGAATATATTAGTAGAATAGTCCCTTTAGAGTAATAGTAAAACTTCAATGGAACCCAGGCAAAAACGCATTCTTTAGGATTGATTAACGATCTGGACGGATGAGGCAACTTCTTTGCGGTGCTAGTATTATTTTAATCGCGCGATATTCAAACTAAATGGCGGGCCTTGAATTTTTTATATTACTGGGAAAATGAGCAAAATATAGATTGGGCGTGCATCTCCAATCAGTTTGAAAGATTGACAGTGAAAAAATATAATTTTCTTAATTTTTTGCATCATTAACGGCCACTTAAAGTACAAATAAATTATAAATGTGTGTTTAAATTTACTAATCATATTGTAAATCCTGCAACACCTTTGAAGAACCAATCCAAGGTCGTCTCGCTCTGATGAGGTCTCATGGTCCTAACGCCCCACAGAAGCCCTCAAGTGCTTTTATGTATTTTTTAAGGTACCAATGTAGTCAATCAAACGATCTTGATTCTCTTCCATTCAACGAGAAACGGAGTTATGCAAGTAAAACATGGCAGTCAATGTCGCAGGAACAAAAGCAGGTTTACTATGATAAAGTCCGAACGGAACAAAAAGCGTATGATATAAAGTTAGCGGAGTATAAAAAAACGGATGAATACAGGCAGTGGCTAATTAAGCACGAAAACAGCAAGGCAGCTCGTAGCAAAAATGGAAAGTCTGCCAAAGATATGAACGGCGATACTGATAGCATCGACGATGAATTTGCATCCAAGTTTCGTCGAATCGAAATATTCACTCCAGAGTTTTTGGATTATAATAAGCAAAGAGAGATGCAACTTCGCAATCTTCGTAAAGAAGTATACAGATATTGTGCTAATTGATCATTTACATTCTATTTTCACTAGGTTACCAAACAGGAAGAAGAAACCGCCTCGTTTAGCACTCATATTGATGGTCTATCCAGTGCAAATTCAGCCATGACCCAACAAATCAAATCGTCAGAGGAAAGCTTGGCACAGGAAGAAAAGCTATTAACAAAATTTTATCAAGAGTTGGCTTCAGCTTTCTCATCCGTACGTTGTTTTCTTTAAAATAAATCCCTTTATTTACATGGTTCTGATTTTATTTACTTAGTTCTTGATCTATTGGCTTAAGGTTCTATTCATTTTAAATATAAAATTTGTGGTTTATCATTTCTTGTCGCCCTCGTTTAGGCAAAATGAAGTTAGGAAGCACTTAATTGTAATTTGACGGAAATCGGAAACGATATTACACTGAATTGGTCGTTACGAATTTGGTCATTTTAATTTTTTGGTTTAATTAGATGTGCCTAATTCTTTACTTTCTGACTTTTTGGTACTTTTTTACTATGCTATTGAAACATGTGGAGCTATTTTGGTGAAGTCCCAAAATTTGACTTTGATGGTATATTCTTGAAGTTTAATCCTCGTTCTCTTCAAATTTATTGAAATAATGTGTGTAATATTTTGGTGCGTTTTATATTTCTGCAATGCTGAATGTATGAAGATTTGGCGCAATTAGAACCAGTGTTTCACTTTTCTTGCGGGGTTCTCATCTTTAGGACTCGGCCATTTTATCTATTCATGTTCTTGCCACTAATTATCCCAAATTTTAGATTTACTCAACATACCTCAAAGAAATGTAGTGCTTAATGATGGCACTCTAGTGCCTCTGTTTTCACATTTTCTTGAGTTTATTAAAGTATATTTTCTCTGAGCACTTATTTGAAAAACCGGTTTTTTTTCTTTACTTCAATTTAAATTGTTTATTCCCATTTTAGCTACAGTTACCCAATCTTGAAGCTTCACCTCGTTCACACGGTAAATCGTTTGATCGAACCACTCCCGACAACATCGAAGCTTTTCTTTCAAAGCTAATGGAATTGATTCAATCTGGGCACAATGAGGCCTTGAAGTCTAAGGCAAAGGAGTGTCTGGCTGCCGCTATACAATCTAACTCGCTGTCATTGTGCTCAATTTAAATGTATATAAAGATAAATCTATTTTTTCATCTTTGTCTTCCGTGTTAATTTTTGGTCAGTGAAGAATATTTTTTAGTTTCGAAAAATATTAATATTTATTCTCAATATCTCTTGCTGTAGTTGTCTCACAGTAAAGAACCAAGTCGTTAGTATCGAAAACAAGGAACTCCATAGCTTAAATGTTTTTACCCCCTTTGATGGGCAAGATCTGTATTGACAGTCTTTACGTATAGTCCCTCTGAGTTGATCTTGTATAGAAGAAGACCAATTTGATTGGGGGACTAACCGCTTTGGCAAAGAAGTTGGAAAATGGTGATATACAAAAAACTATCAACAGGGAAATTATTACTACTAATATATGTACAAGTAGAAGGTATGCGATGCTGCTGATGCTTTTAGTAAAGCCGGTTGTGTTGCTTTTAAACATTTCAACTACTTTACTTTGCTTTGATTTACTATATCAAGTTCGTTTGAAGCCATGTATGAGGGAAATCAATGTTTTTTTTTAAAATTTGGTGAACAGCAGTTGATTATGGTAATTTACCCACCGACGACAGGCTTGTCGAACAGAATGAATATTAGGGTTGCTCTTTATGGCAGAGTGAAATTAAAGCCTTTATGGTTACGTGTGTGAGTACAGATTTTGTGTTAACCACCACCAGAATCTAATAGTTGCTTGACATAACGGCGTTCTAATGTTGAGATGGTTCAGAAAAGTTTGGAGAGTTAAAGATCCGAATTGTGCTAATTCAAGTATACCTGAAGTAGAAGTCGATAGGAAAACTGAACGATATCACGAAATATTAACAGGTTGCAGATTAAGTCTGTGGTCAGCAATAAACTACGTGGTATGATCATTTTTGAAGCTGCGCAACCAATAGAGGAGCCGTTGATAATTTGATGGAAAGTAATGAACCGTAGATTACATACTTTATTTATGCAATAACTGGAATAAAGGCCAATTTTTGATTTCAAAATACTTGGAAGAACCACAATGCCAGTCATTCCTTCAATCAAAAGTGAACTAAATGGAGACATTCTAAAGGCCTATTACCCATGTCAAGAAAGAATTCCACTAATATCGGAATCTATCACATCGTACCTATTTGCTCTTTTACTCTTGTTTTATTTGAGTCTTAAATCATGCTTTACAAGGAATGAAAATTGGGTTTGCTGAAGGGATATCAAGCCAAATTAAAGAATGCCTTAAGCGTGGGCAGTAATGGAGCAATAAAGAAGTAAAGCTAAGCCATAGTATTGCAAGGACCGCCAAAAATTGGAATTCTGTTGAGAAGTCAACTCCATAAAATATATAGACGCTGCAGATTAGTTCACACTTTTAAGGGGCTGTAAATTTAAAGTTTCGAAGAATTAAACAAATTCATCCTTTGATAAGTTGCGCCTAGAATTTCAGGCTGGTTTCAGACCCGTCCCTCTCCATCACAATAACACCTTCTTATGTCTAGAAACTGGGGTGTGCGATAGACTTACCTCCACGTGGTGCACCCTGGGCAACGTATATTCATACGGCAAAAAAGTCTATTAACCGGCAGTTGACTTCTCACTTCAAACTACCCTCACCCCATTGTATGTCATATTCGACTACTTTCACAGTACTCACCTCACCTCTTTTCTATCTTTCTACCTTCGTCTTTGAAACACTCTGCTGTTCCCACCTCCTCTCGACTTTTTTTCCCACTTTGATGTTCCTCCTCCTCTCTGTGAAGCCTGAAGTCAGCTAAAGGGTTAATGATAACCATCAAGACGCCTGCCATTTGA